TTGCCAGCGGCCGCCGTGTGCTGGAAGCCTTTGAGGAAATGACGTCAGGGGCAAGGGGCAATTTCCTCTGTCCTAAGGCAGACAAGCAAGCAGGCAGGCACGGATGGCCCGACAACACAGGGGACACGCGCCTACTACTGCCTCCTCTATTTCCAGCGGCTTTTTCCTTGGTGCTACTGGATGCGCCGATGGGAAAACGCAGGCTTAGTGTGATGACAAGATGACAACGTGACTTGCGAGACTGCGACACCCGGCTGTGCTGGTGCGCCGCGACCAGGTTGGTGTGTGTGGGTGTGTGGGTGTGTGGGACACACTGACCGGCGAGCCCTGACGTAGTGTGTGTGTGTGTGTGTGTGTGTTGCGTGCTGTGTGTGTCGGTAGTCTTGTGCTCTAGCGAGTGAGGCGCTGATGCAGGGAAGGTCTCGTGACCGGGATGGCTGGATGGATATAGGGCTGAAGACAGGCGGATAGTACAACAAGACAGTAGGGCGGAACGCCCAGCGGAGAGGCAATGGGGTGGAGAGGGGGGGGTGGAGGGGCGGAGGAGAAAGGGCAGAGGAGAGCGAGCGGTAGGTTGGGATAGAGATCGAGGAGGTGGCAGAGGATCGAAAAGGAATCGAGCGGTATATGTGCGATCGAGGGGGGTGACCAAGGCATGGGCAGTTAGCGTTCCAGGTCCAGACCACTTGGGGGTTGACGGACTACTCTACTAAGCAGCGACCAGCCGCACCCTGCTGCTTCGTGATTAGGTCTTCATTCACAGCGAGCGCTGGATGATCACTGACCATGGCGACATTGGGTGGGACACATGTCTGGATCTAAGTACCGTACGATGTACTATTGGACCCCTACATAGCCCCTGGTCCCTTATTGAGCAGAGCAGCGCAACGGGCGCGGGAGCAAGACGCTGGTGGTCGTTGGCTGAAACGGGCTAACCTCAGGGCAATGGCACAGCAAGTGGCCCATCAGCTGCCGCGCCGTCATTCACAAGGAAAGGTTTGCTGCACAGTGGCCGCGTTTTTGTTGGCACGCATGACCATCCCCCTCCCCCCCTCCCTCAGTGTGAGGCAACACCCGCCCCCGAAGCAAGCCGTCCAAGGGATATCCAACACAAGTAGATACCGTACGTATCGTATTGTACTGGGGGGGTTCGAGGCTGCCAAATACGTCATGACTGGACTGGGCGTGGGTTATGTGTGGGAAGGTGGTGGGATCCACGCAAGTGAGCCCTAGGCCCTCGAGGACCCTTGTTTTTTTGCGATCGACGTGCTTAGCCTGGAGGCTCTCTGGAGTCTGGAGCCAGTGCAGCCGAGATAGACTACTGTAGTATGTACATACATACTAGGTACTAGTAGAGTAGTGTAGCCATCTGTTCCAAGCAAAGCCAGCAGTCGCTCTTTCTCCCAAAAGAGAAGGCCGCGCGCAGGGGGTGGGTGGACATTGTGCGACACGTACTGTACATTCATTGAACATCACATAGGTCATAAGAAGAGACGTTCGCTCGCAGCTACCCTAGATAGAGCACCACATACGACATGGACGACGACGACGACAACAACAACAACAGACAACACCATGTACACAGTACGGCCCCCCGCTCCTCCTGACTCCGGGTGCCTTTGCCAACTCCAAGCTTGGAAGTATTTGGAAGTATGTATCGTCATCGACCTGGTCTTGTCGCGTGCCTGACAGCTTCCCTCCAATAGCCTTCGGCAAACTCGCGCAAATGTCAGACCG